GTTCTTTATCTTAATAGAATAACAGAGTTGGAAGGGATCTTGAAGTCCAAGTTCCTGCTCAGACAGAAAACCCTATATTGTTTCAAATGGTTATCCAATCTCTTCTTAAAAACCTCCAGTGTTGGATCATCCACATCTTCTGGAGGTAAATTGTTCCACTGATTGTTCTGTCAAAAAAATTATCCTGATGGCTGCTGTGGGTATGATCCATGTGGATATCACCACGTGGGCAGGACTGATATTTTCGTTTTAGTTGCTGATTTTTTTTTCTAGTTCTGAAATGTTCAATGTATGATAGATTTGTAAAGCTTAACAGATGCAGTTATTTTCAGTTCTGTTTTAATAACCATAGCTACAGAAAACTGATGCTATATGTAGCGGTGTGAATATTTATGAGTTTCCTAGGGTTAGCCCCAGTTGTATTGGCTGCCAGAAAGTTTTTGAGTACAATTCAAGGTTATGATCTGTGTGGTCCCTCATGGCATAAAGTCTACCTATCTCCATGTGATGAAATGTCCTGAGGAGATGGGGTGCATTCCAAGGAGTAGGAGGCAATTCAGCCCAGATATTCTGTGATAGAGGTGAAGACAACCTCTCCCTAATAATTCACCGTATGTACATGTAATTCTTGACTTATGACCCAATTGAGCGAAACTCTAGGTTGCTAAACAAGGCAGCTAGGTGGGTTTTGTCCCATTTTATCCTTTTTGCCAAGGTTCTTAAGCAAATCACTACAGTTAAGTGAATCATTTAGTCATTACGCAAATCTGGCTTCCCCTGTTGACTTTGCTTGTTGGAAACTGGCTGGGAAGGTTACAAATGGTGATCACATGACCCTGGGACACTGCAACTGGCATAAATACATGCCAGTTGCCAAACATCTGAATTCTGATCACATATCTGTGGGGGTGCGGCAACGGTCATAAGTGTGGAAATCGGTCATAAGTCACTTTTTGCAATGCTGTTGTAACTTCAAATGGTCACTAAACAAAGGGTTGTAAGTCGATTTCCTGTAGTAGATGCAGATAGTAGAGTCCTCAAGGTTTTGTCTATAGATGTGAGACAAACTCAGCTTGGAAGAATTGGCATATGTCATTCTTGGGCTTGGGCCCGATATTGCAAACATTTCTGCCCATGCCACAAGATCCAGCAAGGCAAGCATGCTCTGCGTCTCTTCTCTGAAACAAGGCCATTTCATGGGACTGAAGAAGCACATCTTCTCTGTTGATGTGGCTGCCCTGTTGATGTAGCATTCTCTCTAAGATTTGGTTGCCCTGGATCTTGCTGGCCGTTAGTAAGGGGCTGTAAACCAGGCTCTTTCTTTAGGTCTTAGGCTGAGGAATTAAATGCGGTCATTTTGTAAGGATCATGTATTTCTTTTTTTTAAATCTTGTTACCTTTTGTTTACTTGTTTTTAAAATGATAGCTGCTATTGTCAGTTGGGCAGCCGTCCAAATTAATTAACTAAATAAAGCACTCTTAAAAAAAAAACAACACCTTTCATCACAAAAGTTTGTTGGTGCAATCTCTGAGACATAAGGACACATAGTTCCAAAGTCAAACATTTCCACCATTATTGAGTATACTCTTTTTTTAAAAAAAAAATTGATTAAAACAATCTAATGCTTAGAAAGGATGGGCAATTTATCTGCCTCATTCCAAGTGTTGGCAATGTAGCTGTTTTGGCAATTAACAAGAGACATAACATAGGCTGAGAGAAGTGGATGCCCGTTGGGGAGACATCAATTGGACATGCTTTGTTTGTTTCCCTAATTCAGTACTGTACTTACTGTGAGATGGAATAGGGAGAACAAACAAGAATTTCTCACAGGGAATTGTCAGGAAAGGTCCTGTCTCTCTAGCTGCCCAAGAGAAATGGTCAGAGAGATGCAGAGCCTGTACCTGATGGAAGAAGTGGTCCTGCAGTGGACCACATTGGGCTGCCTCTGAAGAACATTTGGTAACTTCAACTGGTGCAGAATGCAACTGCATAGGTAGTAAATGGCGCCAGATATATGGCAGATGTAACACAACTACTGAACAAGCTGTATTAATTACTGATACATTTATGAGTACACTTCAAGGTACTGGTTGTCAACTTTAAAGCCCTATATGGCTTGGGACAGGGTTACCTGGGGGGCTGTACCCGTCCAATTCTATCTAGCAGATTGGGCATGCTGCGGATCCCATCAGCCAAAGAGCGTTGGCTGGAGGGGACTAGAAGATGGACCTTTTCTGCAGTAGCCCCTGCTCTGTGGAAGATCTTTGCCTCAAATTAGAGTGGCCCCAACCCTGTTGGCCTTTTGTAAAGCTTTAAAAACTTGTGTGATTGTGTTCCTGAGCTTGGGGAGCAGAAAGTGTTAATGTCCCCGTTTCTTGACTTTACTATTAAGTGGCTAATTATCTCAGTTGCTGTGTATAGTTTGGATGTTTTTATTTTTTAAATGCTTTTTATTGTTTCGTTTTTGTAATTATGGAATTGTAAGCCATCTAGAATCATTGATTGAGATGGGTGGCTATAGAAATTGAATAAATAAAATCCAGCAGGTCACTGATTTCTGGAGGCTTCTTCTCCCTACAACAAGGGAGGGTCCCTCTGTTTTCCCATGGAAAGATCACTATTCACCTTGATCCAGCTTCAGAAGACTAGTATGTATTGGGAGGCTCCATTTTGAGTATGCAGTAACTTGGCTGTCTTGGAGCCAGGGCAAGTGAGCTATGTGGATGAGCACTTCATAAGAAGAAATGCAACCTGCAAAGGACCCATAATTTGCTCTCCTCTTGCATGAACAAATTCAGTTGTGTAATGTATTCAAGCCAGAGTTTTGGTTGGCCAGGATTATAAAGAGTTGTTCAAATGTCAGTTGTTAAAATTAATAACATTTACATATTCACAAAATATACTGCAATTTACCCTATAAATCATATTTCCTATTGGGTGGGATATAAAGAAATGGTCTGAGATGCGCTCCACACAATCTGCAATTTTTAAAATCAAGCATTTGAAAAGAAGCCACTGAGAAAATGAGGAGTGAATGTTTTTGCCTGGTGGTTGAACACTGAACCGTGTTCCCATATATCCTTAATGCAGAAGGTTATTTATAGCCATGACGGCATGAATGTCCTTGCTTAATGCAGTTAAGCCCCATGAACACTCCCAGAGCTGATGTGGCTTCTCAACACACTCTGCTGGTGACTGAATGCTTTGCTACCCTCAGCATTTCCTGCAAACAGGAGTTCAATACAGAGCCACTCCTGGGGCCCCAAATGTATTCTCCAACTTGATGCAGTGGCCAAAGGCAAATTATCTGATGCTGTGTCAGTTAATCTTTCACCCTTTTCTTTTGCAATTGACTGTGGGCAGGTATTTGAGCAGGTGCTTGTTGAAGTTGCTCTACCATCAGCCTGGGTCTAGGGCTAGGCTTTGGGCTTGGTGTATCAAAAATTTGGAAAAAGCTTAACTTAATTCTGCTGACATTTCACTCTCCCTCCAACAAAAGATAAACACTTTTCCATCTCCCCCATCTAGGCTACCCTGAATAGTGATACTTTAGTGGCAGCACTGAGGCTAGACCTGAAGATGAGGCCTGGTTCTCAACTGCAGCCTAATATAATCGCTGCCTCACAAAAACTCCATTCCCCAGGATATTCTGCACACTTAACTTTGGCAGTGTTTTCTTTCTGTTGACAGGCCCCAAGGCCTATTTAAGACCACTCTGGGTTACACAAGCCTTTGTTTTTGAATTGGTTTAAGACAGGGGTAGGCAACTTTGGCTCTTTTATGACTCGTGGATTTCAACTCCCAGAATTCCTGAGCCAAGGTTGCCTACCCCTGGTTTAAGAGAATGCTCTTCCACAACCCCTGTAGCCTCTGAAAACCATGCAAAACATGCCCTGCTTTCACCTGATTTTCGGAGGTTCTGAAGGCCGTACAAGAGCACAACTTTCTTGTGCCACTTACAGAAGGTCCCGAGGCCGTGCAAGAGCACACCCCATTCTCACGTGGCCTCATTGTGCAAGAATCATAAGCTCTGGTGGCACAGTGGTTAGAATGCAGTATTGCAGGCTAACTCACTATCTCCAGCCAGCAGTTCGATTCTCACCGATTCAAGGTTGACTCAGCCTTCCATCCTTCTGAGATCGGTAAAATGAGGACCCAGATTGTTGGGGGGGGGTGATATGCAAAGAATGCTTATATTGTAAATCGCCCAGAGAGGGTTATAGGGTAGCATACATGTTTAAATGCTATTGCCATTGCTATTGCTAAGAACAGGGTGTGCTTTTAAGAATAGTTGTCAGGTGTTGGTGAATGCTGGAGTATGATCCTAAATAGGGCATGCCATTTTAGACACACATCATAGCATCACTATCACTGTTCTAGGGCAATGTGCCTAGTCCCACTGGCATGGTCAGCAGAGAAAGTTGTTAGGAATTTCAGTTAGCAGTACCTGCAGGACCATTAGTTCCCAATGGACACTCCAAGGCTTCCACTTAAGATAATGGGATGTTATGGAGGATTGTAGACAGTGGTGGGATTCAAATATGTGAACAACCGGTTCTCTGTGTGGATGCCACTTCTGGAAGTCCATTCTGGGCCTGGGTAACAAAAATTTAGTACTGGTTCTGCTGAAGTGGTGCGAACTAGCTGAATCTCACCACTGGTTGTAGAGTCATAATCCCACTCACTGCTGTGTTTTGAAACCAGATGGTTTTGTTTTCGGTATCATTGTTTTCATCTTGGTCTGCAGTCTAAATCTTCTCCTTCCCTGTGAAAGAGTCTCTGGGAGATTGGGGGAAGAGTGGCTCTAATAGAGGATATATTTAACACTCTGACCTACCATGTAGATTTCCCCGTGCAAAAGGTATGTTTTCTTGCATTATTTTCTACAGAGCTGTGGTGGTTATTGCATGCAGCAGTAATTTAAAAGTTGGCTACGCACACTCAATCCTTTTATTAAGTCCCATGAGCTGTCTCAGTGGATTCAGCTTGAAGAAAGTTGCCCTCAGTTGGCTGAATAAATTTGCTCTTTGATTGTACGGTAAAATGATTAATGAATCATGAGCATGAGCCAGCTTTGGCTACCAATGTGGTTAAGCCCACAGCGCAACTAGCCCACTTAAATGACGAGATTATGGCTCTGTGGTAATTGACCACAGACTATAATACCTTACACTTCTGGCCTCTTCAATCTAACGTTGGAAGTGCCCAATAGTTAATGCTTGGCTTACCTGCTTTATTTCTGCTTTTATTTTAATTGGTATGTTTTAAGCTTCTGAGCACTTCCTTAATCAACTAGCTAATGTCCCTCAGTCATACAATATCATGTCGAGCCAATTTGGTGAAATGGTTAAAGTGTTGGATAGGCACCAGGGAAAGCCAACAACTAGTCCACTCCCAGCCATTAAATGGACCAGGCATTGTTTTACAATTCAATCAAATTCAATTATGGGGGAAAATATGAGGGAACAATGTGTTAACCACCTTGAACTCTTGAATGAAACAGCAAGTAAATAGTTGTCTCATGTTTGATGGAGAATGTCTCTGTGTATCTTGCTTTAGCTTTGTTGGCACACTTGTGAGAGCAGCCTTTGGATAATAAGTCTTTAAGCCAATGTGGCAGATGTGCTAGATCCTTATGCAAAACATCTGTCAATATTGTTGATCGACGGATGGCAAAGGCAAGAAAATTAGGAATGATTAGATTTCTTCTTCTCTGGTTGGTGATGAATTTATCTTTCTCTGAAAGCTATCTAAAGAGACGGAGAAAGAAGGTAAAGGTGTGTGCGTGTTTGTGTGCGCGCGATGTGTGCAACTCTATTAGAATTGCAAATTGAATTCTGAATGGCATAATTAATTGAGCTGATAGGCTTCATACAAAAGTGATAGATGTAAAAAGAGATGCATTACCCTCTTGTGGTTTTTGAATTCTACTGCCAAGAACCTTCTGGTGTGACTGTCTCAGATTGCCATCTGAAACTGCCAAGCAGGCATTTGTAAACAGCTCTATAAGAGTTTAATTTCAATCTTTCTTATCTAATGAAATACTGAAGTGTCTTGGTTGCTTTCAAGTCCTCAAGTGCTTTACTGGCTGCAACCCAACTAGGTTCCATGCCCCCCCCCACCACCTTTTTTTTGTCTGCAAAAGTTCACTATATGATGGAAAGTGTCTTTTGAGATTTGTGGAAATGGCTTTGTGTTAACAGTTATAAAATTTGTTTGATGGAGGTTTTAAAGGTATGATTTTGACAGCAGCTGATGATATTAAAGGCATGTCAGTGAGAGTTTGAGAGGGTTCTTGGTGTCAAGCAGGATGAAGCCATTACATGGATGCAACTCACACTATTTCACAAGGGTGAGAATATTCACCTGAAAAATTATTTGTTTTTTCTCCCCAGAATAATAACTGAATGTGTGGCTGCTTTATCTTTTGGTTTCACTGAAACCTTATGATCCTTTGGAAATATGCCAACCACTGCATTATGCTACCGAGAACAGTTGAGCCCTCAGGGTGAATTTGAAAGAAGAGGTTCTAATGGATTTCTTTCTTCTTTCTTTAGCAAATGCCAGGGCCAAATTTTAAGCTGCCAAAACAAACAAACAAACAGACAAAACAAAATAGAAAAAGAAAAGAAAAAAGAAGCTGTATTTTTTGTAATATGGTGAATAAAAAAAAACACAATAAATTAAAATGTCCAGGCTTACAATGGCTTTAACGAAAAAAACCGAATAGTTCATCCAAGAATGAAATAAAGAACAAGCAACTATGCTACAGGCACAAATTCCAATAAAAATAACATTACACAAATGCAGTATGACCTGGAAAGAAGCATCTTTAAAAGCTAGTCTTTGCAATGAACAGTGAAAATCCCAGTATCTCGAGAGCTGTTTCATATCGTTTGTCATATCATTTCTGCATGGTATGTTCCAGTGCTTTTGTATTTTTATAGAATATCTGAACTATCTCCCTTGCTGAGACATCTAATTGTGCAAGACTTGTGTCTATACAGTAGGAAGAGCAGATTGCATTTGATTCCACAGACGAATTAGTGGGAAGAACTACAGACTGGCATTGAACTTCTACCTTTCTAACCCTCTTTTGTAGATATCTACAAATCTTAAAGAAAACGAATGAGAATTGGTGTGTGACAGCCACTGGAGGATTTGGTTATGGTTGATTTTTCCCTATGAGCTACCAATCTTCTCATGATAAAGATTAGTGGCATAAGGCAAGCAATTTATATCTATAGTGGGCTATACAATTTTGGTAGAAATACGTTTGAGACTGCATTGGCAATAGACAATACTAGGGTCAAAAGATGGGTAGAGTCTGTTCTGTCTTCCTACTATCCCCATCCTTTTCTCCATCTTCTTTCCACCCAGTAAGTCCCTGGAACAGGACAAGATTTCTCTTGCCAAAGATCTGAACTAATTTGTAGCATAGGGCTTTTGAGGTAAGGCCAAGGACTGCCTATGTTCCTCGGAATGGAGGCTGCCTACCCTCAGAATGGAGTGTTTTTTCCTCCAGATTATTTTCTTCATGAAAATAAGAGGTGGGGATGACCCCCTTTTCTTTGGCCATGGGGTTTCTAGGAGCTCTGCTATGAATTATTGGTAAGTTGGGGGGAAAACAGAAAATGGCAACAACCTGCTATTTCTGTATGGGAACTAGGAAAACCATTTATGAAGTTCATGAACGTGTTAAACCAATTCTGAACTCTCCCACTAGCTCACAGTCCTACAAGAATGGCCTAATCCTTGTTATCCCAAGTGTTGCACTTTTTATTGTGCATTTCAGCATTATTAATTTATAATGATACCCAAATGTCACTATGGCAATACAAAGTTTGTTTTCCTTCGCGACATCCCATAGAGCGGCTGGATGATATTATAAATTGCTAGTGCGGACAGCACATCCTTTTCATAACAGTTTGTGTGCTGGCTGAGATTTTCTAATCATTTCACGTTGTTTATCCTGATGGATGCAAAAAGCAAGCAGAGTTTGCTTTTCCTGTTTGATTGTCACTAAACCTTTGCATGGTTGATGACCATCCAAGGCGGAAAGAGACAGAAGCTGAACAGGGAAACAGACTTGTGGTAAAGCTTTGCTGAACCTGCATTGTGACACATGCATATCACTAGCCTGTTTGACTCACTTCCTCTTGTGTGACAGCCCCTCCCAACTACAGCAATTATGGCTTTGGGATGTACTTGTGCTTTTGACATCTCACCTTTTAGTTCTGTTATACTGGTCTGTCAGGTTTTGGAATTCTTCTACCCTCTTCTCCTTGGTGTGAGTGCCAATAAAAGACAGCTAAAGAAGAAAATACCAAAAGATGGAGGAGGAGGAGGAGGAGGAGGAAGAGGAGGAATTTTGCAAGTACTCCCTAGTGGATTTTCTTTCTTCTGATGAGGGCACAGGATGGAAACACTAAGATAAAGGAGAGGAAGTTACACGACTGTTATGTGAATATTGTCACTTTTGAACTTGGAGAAGAGACTACATCTATATTCCCATCCGCAATTCCTAATGGAGATGGCATGACAAAATTGAATTGCTTCCCCTTCACTGAAATAAAACCCATTGCCTCTGTAGCAATCCTCTTCACCAGCAACTCAGATCTAGTTTATGCCTAGCAGCCAAAGGAACTAAGGCACTACCTGTATTCTGTAATAGATGGCAGGGATCTCTGTTTAAACAGCTGATCTTAAGGAAGGGTAAGGATAATTAAAGTAATCAATGATGATGATATCTGTAGCATAGCTGTCTCCAATAAAAAAAATAATTGGATCCTTCAGGACTTAACTATAATGAAGTCTCATGGCAGTGCATGTTTGTGTGTTACTGGGAGGATTGAGTGAAGAACGGAGGGACCAAGAGGACCTGTGTGTGGTTGAAGATGGAAAGCCAAAATTGAGAATAGCAGAGAGAGAAAGGTAATTGGACCGAATAGTTTAGGAAAGAGAAATGAAGCAAAACAACTTATCAGCTGCTGCCAATTCAATGATTTCAAGGGTTGATTGCGGAAGTGATCATGAAGTGGTCCTTATTCATGATGGCAATGAGGGTGCTTACCGCAAGGAGGTTGAGGGGTTGGTGAACTGATGTAAGGAAAACAGCCTAGTTTTAAATACCGGAAAAACCAAAGAGATCATTGTCGATTTCAGAAAAGGCAGGCACAGCCACACTCCTCTGTGCATTAATGATTCACCTGTGGAGATGGTTACCAGCATCAAATTCCTGGGTGTGCAGCTAACGGGTAGGCTGGCTTGGTCGCTCAACAGCGAGACACTGGTGAAGCGGGCACAGCAGCGCCTGCATTTTCTGTGTCTTCCTATCCTTACCCTTTCTACAGGGGGACGATCGAGAGCATCCTGTTATACAGCATCACAGTTTGGTTTGGAAGCATCACTGCTTCAGACAGGAAGGCGGTACAGAGAGTGGTGAGGATGGCTGAAAAGATCATTGGCAGCTCCCTCCCTGCCATCCAGGACATAGCACAGAAGTGTTGCTTGAGCAGGGTCCGTAAGATTATCTGGGACACTACACATCCTCTTCACGACCTGTTTTCCTTGTTAATTTCTGGGAGGAGGCTTTGTGGTATCCACAGCAGAACATCCAGATTCAGCCGTAGTTTCATTCCATACAGCATTAACCTTGTGAACTCTCAAGCTTCCTCCTTCCGTTATATATCCAAGATGGACAGTATTTAATATTTATTTGTTACATATATGTAGGGATGTGGGTTTATAATATGTTGTATATAGTATGTTTAGGTGTGTGTCATGTATGTGTTTCATTTTGAGAGCGGGCACCTAAATTTCATTTTTGATGTGCCCACAGTAAAAAATGACAGTAAAGTTTATCTCATCTCATCTCATGTTATCTTATGTGCAAACTCCAAGCCAAGTTAAAGCAGGTTATGCTGGAGATGATTTAGCTATCTGGTCAATAAGAGTTGATATTGACTTGATGAAACATAAGCAATAATGAAATCTGAGACAGAAAACAGTTATTTTCAAGAACTAAATATGAGAAAGAAGCATTACTTACCATGAAATACATCATTTCCTGGCTTCTTAATATCAATTACTACATATCTGGAAACTCAACTTTGTCAATGTATTTACGGTTGAAAGTTCTCAATTTACAGTGGGGCCATAGAATATTTCAGATTTCTGCTGGAATTTTTACACCGGAGGGGAAAATTCATCATTAGCATTTTGTTTAAGCCAACAACTGAAGTTTTTCCTCTGGTGAAAAAGAAACCAAGGTAAAGATAATTTTATTTATATCTTGTGTTTCTAGACCTCCCCATCTCCCTCAATGATGGTATTGAAAATAAATTTTATGTGGAATGGGAAAAATGCTTTCTGAGGAAAATGCTGGGGGACACTTGATAACGATGGCTCTTAATCTCATGAAAACCCAATCACAATTGGGGGAGATGTACCTTTAATAATAATAATAATGATGATGATGTTGGAAGGGACCTTGGAGGTCTTCTAGTCCAACCCGCTGCTCAGGCAGAAAACCCTATATCATTACAGACAAATGGCTGTCTAGTCTAATTGTTCTAACTGTCAGGAAGTTTCTCCTTAGTTCTAGGTTGCTTTTCACCTCGATTCTTTGATCTTATGGGATACCAACAGGGTAATTAGTTGATCCACTCAACTAACCTGAAGAGAATAAACTTATCCCCAAATAGACCCTGTCTTGCATATGGATAAATGTGCAAATTATACTTATCGTGGGAAACCCCAAAACACAGTTGTCCTATTTTGCCCGGTTAGTTCTCTAAGACAAAGAGTTGGAGAGAAAGAATGGATTAAAAAAAGAAATTCTCTTTGTTTTATACTTGATTATTAATGCCTGGCAACACAAACACATACTTTCAAACACATACTAGCTACAGTACCTAAATCATGCCCTGACAGTCCTCTTGCCACCTGCTTGAAGGGCTTATGGAATATCATGGTTTGTGGCAGAGGACTTTATTCCCAACATACAGCCTTTATTCAACATGACTGTGTGCTTCCAAATGGGTAAGGGGGCTGCCTGGGTTAAGTGTGCCCTGTCAGTTTGAAGAGTTGTCAGTCCCATGGAAAAAAGTAACACTTATCACAGAGTGTGCAGCATGGAATAAAGGAAGGTTTCAGGTGAACATCAGGAAAAGCTTTCAAACATAAGAACAAATGAATAGTGGAACTGATTCTCCAGGGAGGGGTAAGTTTTAAATGCTCTGTTTTAAAATCTGCCTTCATCTGTCAAGGGCAATCATAAATCAGAACAAATACTAAAGAAACTGAAATGGGATTCATCATGAATCATGTTTAAGAGAGTTCTTTAAATAAAAATAAAGACATTAAGTTCACTGAGTTTCCATGGGAGTTTGTTTTTGGCTTTCAGAGCCAATGTCAATACTAGTCAATTGTCAGAAAACCAAGTTGGGAGCTTCTGGCAATTCCTTCTTGATCATTTACATGTCAATTTCATCATTCTTGTTATTACAAATGGGTTACACTTTAAGTGTTTCCCCCCCCTCCCAGTAATTTCTGAAAATTTACATTTAAAGTTACATAAAATGCCACGGCACAAAACACATCTCTATATAGTTGACAGAAGGAAAAAGAAAGGGCTGTTTTATGAAGCTATGGGCTGCAATGTATATGAAATATCTAAGATGATAACAATAATAGAAGTAAACATTACCAGCATTGCCTCACCTCAAACATGAAGAGAGGGAAATTGTGGTCTCTTAGATCTGTGTTGGACTACAACTCCCATCACTTTGAACAGGTGATTTTGACTGATAGAACTTAAGAGTCCAACAATCTCTGGCAACACAATTTCCTGGTAGAGAACCCAGCTGTTGCAAAGGGCAGCATTAGGATGATCATTCCCAGCTTGTAGGAGCTGTACTTAGATGGGGCAGTTTTCTATGCTATGATGACCACTAAAAGATACAAAGTCAGTAATAAGGATCTTCCTTCCCTACGTTATATCTTGGATTGCTACCCAATGTAATTATGGTTAGCAAAGTTATTTCCAAAATGTTTCCCTTACCAGCAGGCTTTCATTACAACATATAAATTGATTACTGCTCCCGTTAAGTCAGGCACTTCATGAAACAACTGATTGATATACAGCAGGAGTTCCCAAACCCTGGCTGAGGACTGGTACCGGTCCTTGGCCTGTTAGGAACTAGTCTGTACAAGTGGCAGGCGAGCAAGTGAAACTTCATCTGCACATGTACAGGATCTAGGTTGTGCACAAAATCACCCCCCACCCACCTCCCAGTCCAGGCAAGACAATTTTGCTTCTGAAACCAGTCCCTAGCCGCAGAAAAGTTGGAGACCACTGATATATAGGACAAAGGAAATGCAGGTACTGTACACTTTGGGAACAGATAAATCCCCCAATTTATAAATAACTTTTGATTGATTTTGGCTTGTTAAGCATGTGTCTTGGAATATGTCCCTTAGTCCACAGCTAGCAAGCTATTATAATCTGCTATAGTAAAAGTTCTAGTTCTTATATGATTCGTAGTCACAGCTTTGAGAAAACTAAATACTTCAAACGTTAAAACCTTGAAAGAAATATCATTTATTCATCTATTAAGATTGAATACAATGACAGTACAATGTCTCTCATTAGCCTATTGTAATCATGTGCGAAGAGAAAAAGTGAAAAATTGGGAAGGCTTATAATATGGGAAATAAAAAGTTAAAAAAGTCGGCTAATTTTGTTATGAAAACATTACTAATACTTACAAGCTGCTAAGGCACTATATCTTAAGACTACATATTCCATTTGCGTTTGCCTGCATAATGGAAATACATGTTGTAACTTATAAAATAAAGTAAGTCAAGGCTGGAATATATTTTGCTTTTAAACAGAACATAATCTGCTTTCATGACATGTCAGTAAAAAATGTGAAATGACTGGAACTTATCTGACCAGCAATATGATGCTAGGATAAAGAAATACACTGGACATAGCGACCTACTTCTGAAGAGCTATTAATTAATAGGTTTTTTTTAAAAAACCGTAACATCTCCAGATTGCTGAAATGTTACTATGGCTGAGCATAAAACTGCTCTGGTAATTACTTATGTTTATGTATTGATAACTGTTTGGAAATGTATGGGACTAAAGAGTTGCACAACTGATACATCATTAATTTGGTAGAGACATTAAGAAGACAGCCATGCTAGTCTATGATGGCAAAGTGTCAGAAGCAATCTGACTAATACAGTGGTTCTCAACCTTTCTAATGCCGCGACCCCATAATACAGTTCCCCATGTTGTGGTGACCCCCAACCACTTATACATCACCGGGTGCCAAAGGCGTGGCCAAAGAAAAGGGGGAAAAATGGCAGACAGCCTTGTTTGGCGACCCCCGTGAAATGGTCGTTCGACCCCAAAGG